CTGAGCTTTTCCCACCATGTCTTCCTGCAGAAAGGAACCATGGTAGTGCAGTGGGTTATGAATTGGGCTGCTAACTACCAGGTCAGCAGTTGAAATCTACCAGTCACTTCCTGGGGGAAAGATAAGGCTTCTTTCTACTACCTTTAAGATTTAGCGCCTTGGAAACCCTATACAGGCTCACTATGTATGGGAACTGACTTGACGGCACACAACCACCACCAACCCTCAACATGTTGTTGTTTTTATTAAGTACCATGGAGTCGGTTTCAACGCAGAGTGACCCTGTATAGGGTTTCCAAGGAGTGGCTGCTGGGTTTGAACCACTGACCTTGTAGTCAGCAGTCTAGTGCTTATCCTATAGTGCCACACCAGGACTCTCATATAGGATATTCTAAAGAATGTGGTTCAAACCCACAGGGTCGCTATGAGTCGGAACCAACTCCACGGCACTTAACAACAACAGTAGCATTTCCACGGTTATAAATCTTTACCATACTAGAAAGTCTCATCTTCCTCTCACAGAGTGACGATGGAGTCAAACTACTAACCATGCAATTAGTAGCACCCCTCGTAACCCACTGCACTACTAGGACTCCTTGCTATGAGATGTACTATAATCAAACAGAAAGCGATCTCTTATGCATGAGAGGTAAGACTCAACTACTGTGAGGTTAAAAGGAATGGGAGGTAACAGAAAGCAGATAAACAGATAAACCACAGGACAGCTAAATTTGAGATGCTGGAGAGGAGGTGAGTAAAATAAAGCATGGTATGCTTCTTGCTCTTTTCAGTAGGAGGCGAAAGTATTAATTCACACATGCTTTTCTAGAGGTAACCACTTAAAAAACAGAAACTGAGTGGGTAACGTCTAAATGAGTAGAGAGAAAAAAAAGAAATGATAAAAAACTTACCTAACCCCAAAGAACAGATACGTGGCACACTGTCTGCCTTTATACATTTGTGACTATACATTAAAAACGAATTGTTATTGCTGCATTTTACAAGTTTTGAAGATGTCTAACTCAAATTAAACTCATTGCCTTCAAGTCGATGCCTGCTCATCGTGACCTTGTATAGGGTTTCCGAGGTTATAAGTCTTTACAATAGAAAGTCTTACCTTTCTCCAATTGAAGATGTTTACGTGCGTTTTATTTGCTATGCAGAGGCATTTGATTGTGTGGATCATGTAAATTATGGATAACATTGGAAAGAATGGGAATTGCACAACACTGTACGCAGAATCCGTACAAGAGACAGCTGTTTGAAGAGAACAAGGGGACACTGTGTAGCTTAAAATCAGGAGAGATGAGTGTCAGGGTTGCATACTTTCACCATGCTTTCTCAATCTATATGCTAAGCAACTAATCTAAGAAGCTAGACTTACAAAAAGACAACCCAATAGTCACTTTCAGAAGGAAAACACAAAACTGACAGCATTGCAGTGAAGTGAATTATTCCACGTCTCTTCTTGTCATGTTGCTGTTGTTGTTTTTGAATCACTTCTGACTCACAGCGACCCTTTACAGGGTGTCCCACAGTGGCTGGTGGGTTTGAACTGCCAACCTTGTGGGTTACCAGTCCAGAGCTTATGCTACAACGCCACACCAGGACTCATACACTTTGTAAATTCCCATCATAGGGCTTCTCCCTGATGGGTCTGAGTAAGGTGGGAGAAGTTGTCTGCTGTAAATACAATGTAATTATTTGATTCTACATGGACATACTGGCCTGCTTCACATCTGCTCCCTTGTTCATTTTCCTATCATTACATCCCTATCATGACATTAAAATGCTTTGGTGGGTGTGCGGATTGGTTCACAAACCAGCAATGACTCTTATTCTCTCACTAGGGAACCCGGAGCCCTGGAGGGTTACTATTAAAGAGAAAAGAAAACTGGAAAGAGTTTCAGAAGGAATGGGTTCTAGCCTCAGCTCTGTTTCAATGAACCTTGGGCAACTTAACACAACCTTTTCTTCTGAATTTTCTTATTTACAACACCAAGTGGCTGAACTTAGTGAGCTCTAGAGCCCCTCCTAAGTTACAATTCGAAGCTGAATGCACATGCTTTCAAGGATCTTCTCTTTCACTTGTTTTTTCATTCATTCTTCCACCAAACAAATCTCCCTTATCTCTGTGAACCTGGAGACAAGAAAACGAATATACTCAACAATCTCTAGTCTCCAGCTTCTTAGAGTCCAGGAGAAGAAAAGGGTTAACAAATCACAGCAATATGGCAAGTGTTACAACAGAAGTGTGAAAAAGGGACTCTGGCAGGCAGAGGTGGAAACTCATCCACTGAGACTCTAAGGACATTAGTGTTTGATTAGGGTGAAGAAGGGGAGACATAAGGCAATGGATTTTCAGGCAAAGATTAGCATGGGCAAATCTTGAGTAAAAAATTGGAAAAGAGGGCTCTGTAAACATATCAGCATGAGGAAGCGCAGGCCTTATGTGAGACAAGAGAAACTTGATTTTACCCAGTAGGAGAAACATGTTTTCTTATATCACATGAGGCCTGAAGTTGGGAAGCAATGAGACATGCTGCACTGGGATTGAGGACGATCACTCTTAGGTACACTGCGGAGCAAAGAAAGGGGCATGGAAGTGGGGGACAAGGTGGAGTACAAAGGCCAGTTAGTTCATTGTAATTGATCTAAAGAAAAATTATGAAAATCTACACTAAAGAGTGACATCAGAAAAAAGATTTGATAAGTATTAGTGAGGTATGCTAACCAAGGTGATGGTCTGAACCTGGCAATTTGCATCTGTAAAGATTGTTGTTGTGAAGTGCCAAGGAGTCCATTCTGACCCATAGCGACCTTGTACAGGGTTTCCAAGGAGCAGATGGTGAGCCTGAACCACCGACCTTGCAGTTCAAACGACTTTGCAGTCTGACGCATTAGCCCACACTGCAACACCAGGTCTCCAAACCCAGAGAGGGGAGTTCTGCTCTGCTACATGGGTTTACTATAAGTTGGAATCTACTTGACAATATATAAAAACTACAAATGAGTTATAATGGCCAAGACCCACAATTCAAATATAGGGCTGAGAGAAAGAGAGAGTTTAAAGAACTCTGGGGAGAAGAGAGGAGGATATAAAGAGGTGAAAATAGAAAAGGATTGATTTGAAGGAAATAATGAAGTAGAAATAGTAAGAACCAACTGAAGGATGAGCTTCAGGGGTGATGATGAAGGAAAAGAAAAAGGGTTTCTGAGGAGTGGCTGGTGGGTTTGAACTGCTAACCTTGCAGTAAGCAGTCCAGTGTTTATCCTACAGCGTCACACCAGGAACTTCATATTAGAATTTGGAACACTTTAAATCCAATGGAATTTTTGCACATCGCCTCTCCTTCTTACATCTTGATTACCCGCATCTACTAGGTCTATACTGTGGACTAATGTGGTGGACTGCAAAGCCGTTTGAACTGCAAGGTTGGTGGTTCAAACTCACCAGTCGCTCCTCGGAAACCCTATACAGGGTCACTATGAGTTGGAATCAACTCCATGGCACTTAACAACAACAACAACTAGGCCTACTCAGGAGTCCTGGTGTGGTGCTGTGGGTTAATGCGCTGGACTGCAAGGTTGGTTTGAACCGAAAGGTAGGCAGTTCAAGCTCACCAGCCACTCCTTGGAAACCTCATACAAGGTTGCTAGGAGTAGGAACCAACTCTGACACTTAACATTCCACAGGAGAAAGATGAGGCTTTCCGCTCTTGTAAAGATTGTTAAGTGCCATTGAGTCGGTTGCGACCCATAGCCACCCTGAACAGGGTTTCCGAGGCTGTAAATCTTTACGGGAGCAGAAAGCCTCATCTTTTTCCCGTGGAGCAGCTGGTAGTTTCCAACTGCTGACCTTGCGGTTCGCAGACCGAGTCGTAACCACTACACTACCAGCGACTAACCATAAACTGGTAAAGATTACAACCTAGAAAACCCTATGCAGGATCCCTATGCGTTGGGACCGACTCCATGGCACACCATCACCACCACTAGGTCTACGGGGCTCCTGGTGTGGCGCCGTAGGATCAGCACCGGGCAGAAAACCACAAAGTTAGCAGTTCAAACCTACCTGCTGCTCCTCGGAAACCCTATACAGGGTCGCTAATTGAGTAGGAACTGACTTGACAGCACTTAACAATACCAACTAGACTTACTAGTACTGCACCACCAGCTGGTGGACGTTTTTCCAGATAGGTCTCTCTTCAGTTCTTCAAACACACTAAGTTCTTTGCTATTTCCTTTGCCTGGAAACTCTTGCCATCCATGGTACATAGTTGGCTTCTTTCCATTTTCACTTTCAACCTTTTCAGCGGCCTTCACAGACCAACCTATCTGTCATACTCACACCTTATTTTCTACCATGGTACTGTATTGTTTCACTTCTATAACCACTGTATTTGCTCACTTTTTATTGTCTGTCTCCCCCACTATAATGTATGCATCATGATGGCAAGGGGGAAAAAGCTTGGTTTGTATCATTTCACTTAATCTTCAAAACAGCACTGTGACATAAAAAGATTGTTTTTAAATGATCTATACAGATGAGGAAATTGAGAAGTTCACGTATATAACTTGCTCAAATTCACGCAAGTGGTGGAGGCGGGAAAAGAATCCAGTTCTGACTTCAAGAACCTAACAAAGCCAGGCCGCTGCTCATTTCAAGTGCAGGCACACATTCTAGTTTGGGCAGTTCTGGTTTAGCTTTATTTACGTTGAGATTGCCCCCAATCCACAAATCCACATTTCACCGTCCCCACCCCTTTCCAATTGTTTCCTTAGGGAATATGAGAGTGGGGAGCAGTGGAGGGTCGTCCTAAACTTCCAGTTCTCTGCTTTACGGGAGGAAGATGCATGTAGGAAGGAGACGAGAGCCAAGCGTTAGCAACTTCTCTGTTAGTATTAAAGAAGCAGTTAATCAGGTCTAACAAGCCTTCGTGGCTGTGGTGGGTTTTGGAGGACAAGCACACAATTCCCACATCGCAGCGCTTACTTACCTTAACCGCCACCTCCGGAGCCGAGTCCACCGCCACTGCCAGAGAAGGTTTGGCCGAAGGTGATTTAGTCAAGTGCATGAGGGAATCGGCGGCCGGCAGCGAACACCGGCCGCCCTCACTGTCGGAGTCTGACTCGGACCCTGAACCCGAACCATAGGAAGCAGCCAAAGCTGCAATTGCAGCCGACATGACAGCAACTTATCCTCCGCGGAGACCAGGCCCCGGCGGAAGTGACTTCTAGGTCCCGACAGGTTACAGTAAACACAGTAGTTATCTTGTTTTGGTAAGAAAAAATTTAAAACAATTTAAATCAATGAACTACTTATTAATATAACACAGAAAAATATGATATTTTATAACTATTTCTGTAGCGAAATAGAGACTATTAAACAGAGTATAGCTTTCAGGACCTATTTGACTAAATCAAGACTACGAGTTCCGAAATACCTTGAGGCCGCACGGTCCTATCTCCCGGCGTGCATCGCGGAGGGACGAGGGAGAAGGTACTATGGGAAATGTAGTTTGGAGGGAAGGGGCGGGGTGGGGCGGGCCTGCCTCTCATTGACCCCGCCCCTAGATATATGGTTCATTCAATTGGCTATCATCTTCCCTCATTCCCTAGCCAGGCACTGTTCTCTCCGTCCCCCTCCCCCAAACTGAGGATTGGGCAATACCATACAGCCTCAGGAAAGAGGGGAATAGCAGTCATTAGCCCCCCGACTGATAGGTGAGTCGGGGGAGGCTGAGTTTCCCACCATGACTACACCTGGGCACTGGAGACTGAAGACGAACGTGAGAATATAAGTTCCAAGATCTTTACCGGGAGAACAGTTCCTGGTGGAATGGATGGGAGGATAGGTGGAGAAGTCCAGTGGTAATTCCCCCTGCTTCTGGCGCGGGTCCCCTCGCCCGGTTGTGAAGCGTCGCGCGCGGGGAGGGGGCGGGTGGGGGGCGGCGGCGACGGCTCGCGGTGGTGTTGTTCGCTAGCGCGTCGAGCACACGGCGAGTCCGGCGACCGGCGGGCGTCGCAGGCGCCGATCCCAGCGCCTCGTAGCCTTGGCCACTGCCTGGAGCGAGTTCCACCCCAGAGCCCGGCGTTCCCAGAGGGCTCTAGGTGGAGTCCAGGGAGCTGAGGGGGACCGGCGGCCACCGTCGAAGCATGAAGTGGTAAGCAAGAGCCCCCCTAAGCTTTCAGGCGAGCGTGAGTCTCTCAGGAATTGCCTTTTTATTTTGAGGATGTGGGGATGCTAGGAGAGGAACTCCTCCTCACCGGCCGGAACTGAGAGAGGTGTGTGTGCATCTCCAGCCCGGCAGAGGTGAAGGGGGTGGTCCCCACCCCCATTCGTGGGTTTCCCGGGCTCCCGCCGCCCACCCTTCAGCCCCGACTCTCGGTTGCCGGGGCCGCCCGGGGGCTGCTCGCGGCGGAGACTGCGGGGCTCACCTGGGTCCATCGCCGGAGCTCCCCGGCCCACCGGCAGCCACGCCATGCCGCCTCGTTCCAGGGAAGGCTGCAGCCCTTGCTCGCCCTACGTGCCCTGGGCTTGGAGAGCCAGCCTGTGCGTTTGTGTGTTTGCGCCGCGCGTCTGTGCCTAAAGACATAACGGGAATGCCAGTGTGGGCAACGCTGTATTCGTTTCTAGAGGAGGCGAAGCGGGGCCGACGCCTCGGATGCCTGTTTATGTGGGTGCTTCTGGTAGACTTAGGGAGCTGCTGGCTCTGTTCAGCTGTCGGCAGGACTCGCCCATTGTGCCACCCAGATAATTATTCAACTCTGCAGCATCCATTGCACCTTTCCCGTTTTCCTTTTCCCCTTGCTATAGCATGCCCCCTAGCTTCGGTACTCTGACGCCTGCTCGGGCAGTTGCGGATGCCGAGCTGAAATCATGATGAAAAGACAGTACATCTAACCTGCACACTCACGACCTGCCCTATAACCGATTCGTGCCCTAATCCCTGAGTCAGCCCTTCAGTCAAATCCCGTCCTTTCCTATACAAGAGGTGTAGTGGATTCTACTTTAATTTTTGCTTTGGTGTTCGATTGACGTGCTAGTTAAGTCTTACTTCTGCTCAGCAATTGCTTTGTTGGTTATTCAATACGTCTTATTTAATAGACTTTAATTTGCATGTTAGGTAACTTCCATTTTCTCATTGTTGACAGCACTTGTGTTGATCATAATTACAAGTGTAGTCTACTCGAAGAGACAGTTTTACCGTATGCTCAAAGTTTCTTTTAGGAAAAAGTACTTCTATTTATGCCTCTCTCTCTCTCTCTTTTTTTTTTGGTAAAATTTCTCTAATTTTGGTTAAGAAAAGTTTGGCATTTATTTTCCAGTAGCAGAATATTTGAATGCTAGTAGTCTTCAGTTGAATGGAGAGAATTTCATATTTAAGATGGGGCTTTCACTGCCATGTTGAGCCATTCCCTAATTTACTTTAATTTTATTTTTTTATTCAGTTCATTCCTTGCAACATTATGTATTTAATTACTTGTTACAGAATTTCCCCTCGTTTTTCTAATTCTGTCAACAAGGATGGATAGTCTCCCTTTTTTGCATGACTACCTGAAAGATGAAATATTTTTTGAAGCTGTAAGAAACTGTTGGTTACTTGATAGTTGTTTTTAAAAATACTTATAGATTATTTGAAGTCATTCTCTGCTTTCTTTATGTTTTTGAATACCTCCTTCCCAGCTTTCATTGTTTAAGCTTGTTACATTAACCCTTAGCACTTTGGATAACATGGGCTGGTACCTAGGTATTGCAGAGGCAGTAATTGTTTTATGGCAGTTGGGAGTGGCACACTTAGAACTTGGTGTGGGGTAAGGTGCGTTGTTACAAAATGACCTTGCAATTTACAAAATGGGCACCTTGATGCCTTGGTTTCCTTATATCTAAATGTGAATAATGATACTAAATTATATGACTAGATAGTATAAATAAATTCAGTAAAGATGTTTTCATAATGCATTTAAAGAATATTGGAAGATTTTAGTTGATGAATAATGAAAATAATTAAGTGTAAAGTATAATGAAAAGATGTCACTGTAGTTTTTCTTGGTACATTGGTATACCTCATTTACATTAAATTTTTGCTTTGGAGAAAAATGGTTCTAATGTGAGGGATGTATCTCATCCATCATGAGAATTTTAATATTTGTAGATAACGCTGATCTATGTGTAAATATTTAATGTTATGTGTCATCTAGTTGGTTCTGACTCATAGCAACCTGGTATAGGGGCTCCTGAGTGGCTGGTGGGTTTGAACTACCCACCTTTCAGTTAGCATTCCAGTGCTTCTCCTTTAGTGCCATACCACAACTCCAAGTATTTAATATTGATGGAAAAATTATATGACTTGGTAATGAAGCAAGTAGATTATTGATTAAGTTTGTGCAATATAAAATATCCAAAAAATATTATGGCCTTTTTTCGTTGAAAAATTTTCAGGTTATAAATTCTAAAATAACATAGTTGTGATCATTTGCAAGGTATGGAGCTACCCTTCTGATTATTCAGGTTTGTTAATAACCATGTATTCAGAGATGATGTATTATTAATGATGTATATAAGATTATAATTATACGTTTTGTTTTATTGTAGGAATTGTTTATGATAACCATTTTCCTTTGTTTGATTTTCATTACCACAGTAAATAAGAATAGTTTAAGATATCTTTTCTCAGTGTTTGATTTTCATTACCACAGTAGAGTGAACCTTTTGATTTATTTATTGGAGAGTTAACTCAATCAATTTTCCTAGCAGTGCTTACCATTACTATATTATATTATATTATTAGAACTTTTACCAACAATCCTTTTGGTTACTTTATGGGAAGACTTCATATAAATAAAACTATTATTCATACAAATAAGACTATTAAAATGTGTGTTTAAAATTACTCTTGTATACTTTCTTGTGTGAATTAATTTGATGCTATTTTATAGTTATTTTTAAGACAACTAGTTAAAATTAAAGCTGTCACCATTATTTGAAAGAATGCCATAAGCTAAGTTCCTTGAGGACAGAAACTGACTTTAATGTTTATTATCATAAATCCCCAGTCCCTAGAATACTGTTGAGCATTTGGTAGGAATTCAGTTTTCTTTGTTGAACAGATAAAATAAATGAGTGAACTGTCCATTGAACTCATAAATTGAATACAATTTTTTAATTAAAAATTTATCAAGCATTTTAATTTATGAAACATAGCTTTATCTCAAAGAAAAAGAAAAGTCTGTTTGGGGTTCCTGGAACTTCATTTACCTTTAGATATAATCCATAATAATCTCACCGTTTTTAAAAATAGTACTAAATACTGAATAATGTATAAGTAGATAACTTTTCACTTGTGAAATGATTATAACTTTATTCTCACCTCATATATCTGACTTCATAAGAATGTACATTGATTTTTTTTCCCTAAATTAGATAAGTATAGCAATTTGTTAGTTTTTTGACATACCATTTTCAAATAAATATTTATAAAAATACGTGTATTGATTCAATCCCCTGTTAAATGTCTAACTTGTTCTTGACTGCTGTTGAGTTGGCCCCCAGTGGATCCTGGGGTTTCCACTGGCTGATTTTTGGAAGTAGATCACCTTTCTCCCCAGTGTATCTGAAGTCTGGAGACTCCACAGCTTTCATTGACACGCAAGTGGTGGTTGCATTGGCTGGGAATCAAATGTGAGCCTCACATGAAGAGCAAGGATTCTGTCATTGAATCATCACTTTCTTTAAATGTGTGAATACTTCATTTTAATGATAATGAGTGTGGTAGGTGGAACTTTTTATAATTTTCCATCTTTGTGTGTTTGTAGTTTCTTAGACTAGAATAGATTATGTTTTAAAGCTAGTAAAATCCTTTGGAACTTGAAACTTGCTTTGTAAGAGAAACAATTTTATGCTGTTTAGATTCAGTGACAGTCCACCAGAGTCCACTTAACCCATAACATACCCATAACAGCTTAAAAATCAGGAAAAGTGTACACCGGGGTTGTATTCTTTCGCCGTACTTTTTCAATCTGTTTCTGAGTAAATCATTCAAGAAGCTGGGTCATATGAAGAAGAACATGGCATCAGAATTGGAGGAAGACTCATTGAACAACCTGCAATATGCAGATGACACAACCTTGCTTACTGAAAGAGAAGAGGACTTAAAATACTGATGAAGATCAAAACTACAGTATGGGTTGTACCTCAATATAAAGAAAA